GGACAGAGGTGGTGCTGGTATGAGGTCTGGGGGTGGAGGTAGAGGTGGAGGATGTTATGGGGACAGAGGTGGTGCTGGTGTGGTGTCTGGGGGCATGGGTGGAGGTGGAGGTGGGGACAGAGGTGGTGCTGGTGTGGGGTCTGGAGGTGGAGGTAGAGGTGGAGGATGTTATGGGGACAGAGGTGGTGCTGGTGTGGAGTCTGGAGGTGGGTGTGGAGGTGGAGGTGGAAGATGTTATGGGGACAGAGGTGGTGTTGGTGTGGGGTCTGTGGGTGGAGGTGGAGGTGGGGACAGAGGTGGTATTGTGGGGTCTATAGGTAGAGGTGGAGGTGGGGACAGAGGTGGTGCTGGTGTGAGGTCTGGGGGTGGAGGCAGAGGTGGAGGTGGGGACAGAGGTGGTGTTGGTGTGGGGTCTGTAGGTGGAGGTGGAGGTGGAGGTGGGGGTGGGGACAGAGGTGGTGCTGGTGTGGTGTCTGGAGGTGGGTGTGGAGGTGGAGGTGGAGGATGTTATGGGGACAGAGGTGGTGTTGGTGTGGGATCTGTGGGTGGAGGTGGAGGTGGAGGTGGGGACAGAGGTGGTATTGTTGTGGGGTCTGTAGGTGGAGGTGGAGGTGGGGGTGGGGGCAGAGGTGGTGCTGGTGTGGGGTCTGGAGGTGGAGGTAGGGGTGGGGACAGAGGTGGTACCGGTGTGGGGTCTGTGGGTGGGGGTGGAGGTGGAGGATGTCATGGGGACAGAGGTGGTATTGGTGTGGAGTCTGTGGGTCGGGGTGGGGGTGGAGGTTAAGGTGGAGGTGGAGGTAGGGACAGAGGTAGTGCTGGTGTGGGGTCTGGAGGTGGAGCTAAAGGTGGGGACAGAGGTGGTACTGGTGTGGCGTCTGGGGGTAGGGGTGGAGGTGGAGGTGGTGGTGGGGGCAGAGGTGGTGCTGGTGTGGGGTCTGTAGGTGGAGGTGGAGGTGGAGGTGGGGACAGAGGTGGTGCTCGTGTGGGATCTGGGGGTGGAGGTAGAGGTGGGGACAGAGGTGGTGCTGGTGTGGCGTCTGGGGGTGTGGGTGGAGGTGGAGGTGGTAGTGGGGACAGAGGTGGTGCTGGCGTGGGGTGTGGAGGTGGAGCTAAAGGTGGGGACAGAAGTGGTGCTGGTGTGGGGTCTGGGGGTGGAGGTAGAGGTGAGGACAGAGGTGGTGCTCGTGTGGGATCTGGGGGTGGAGGTGGAGGTGGTTGTGGGGACAGAGGTGGTGCTGGTATGGGGTCTGGGGGTAGAGGTGGAGGTGGGGACAGAGGTTGTACTGGTGTGGGGTCTGTGGATGGGGGTGGAGGTGGAGGATGTCATGGGGACAGAGGTGGTGCTGGTATGAGGTCTGGGGGTAGAGGTGGAGGTGGGGACAGAGGTGGTGCTGGTGTGAGTTCTGTAGGTGGGGGTGGAAGTGGGGGCAGAGGTGGTGCTGGTATGGGGTCTGGGGGTGGAGGTAGAGGTGGGGACAGAGGTGGTGCTGGTGTGAGTTCTGTAGGTGGGGATGGAGGTAGAGGTGGGGACAGAGGTGGTGCTGGTATGGGGTCTGGGGGTGGAGGTAGAGGTGGGGA